TGTTTGCTGAGAAAAGGGGGCAGGGATGGGGGCTATAATGGGTGGTTTTGGACTTATAGGTTTGGGTTATTTGTGAGGGAATATGGGCAGGAATGAGTGGCTAGTGGTGGGTCCGGGTTTTGGCTCTTTGTGGGTGTTTATGTTGGGATTGTGAAGTGTATTTTGGCCAGGGGTGAATGGAATAGAGGGTGGGTTTTATTTGTTGAACAAAAGGCTTAAAAGAAGAAAAATAACAACAAACAAAAGGTTTTATTTTACACAACCTTATTTTTGGCCAGAAGCTTAAATAAGAGTAGGAAAAAACTTTATTTTGAAATGAAGTAAATGGCAAGGAGTTTTGGATATTTTGGGTTGGGTTGGACAGAGTGGGGGTTGGCCTGTGGAACCCTCGGGTCCGAAGCTATCCTGGCCTCTTGGGTTGAAGGACTCGGAATTCTCACTAAAACGGATCATAATGCTTGAACTTAAGTCCTCTGGTTTTTGCGAGGGTGTAGGACATGGGGGAGGGTATGATAGGGCCAGGCCCGGGTATAACACCCCCCCCCCCTCCTCCTCAAGCAAACATAAAATAATACTGACAAGTTACTTATAGATTCTGCAAAGGATAAGGCCTAACATTGCAGTGCTGCTGGTGTGGCACTATGACAGCTAGACGGACCCACATTGCTTTTCATGAGTTTCTGAAAAATACATAGTACAGAATAACTGTTTAATTGAGAAGCAATAGAAGTTGGTCAGGAAATGTGAGCGTGATTGTCATTAAGCATTTTGGAATTGCAACAAGCCATCATTTATTGTACAGTGCAGATTAAGCTTTTGTTATACTTAACTAATAGACAACAATACTTCCTAATGTTTATGTTCTTCAATCTTCAGCACATATCTGCACATGGTTCTCGAAGTTTTATTGAAATTTGACAAAATACACCTTCCGAAATTTTGCTCTTTCCCCATCTCTATTTAAACGTGATCCACCTGCAAAGTGAGTTAAACGAGTGGGGGGTGTGTGTTAGCACTGTAATGCTTAGTATTAAAGCATTCATTAATGATAAGCAGTGATAGGAAATAGTGACTGTTCTTGTTACTTTTCATCTAATCCAATAATTAACCTGCATCCTTGGGTTCACCATTCATCAAAGATGAGTGTAATATTCTGTTCTTAACACTGAGATGCGGTGCTTCTTTCTCTATGACTATGCATGCATATCTTTCCGGAATTATTATGTTTGTCCAAATGCCTTAACAAGGTTTGTGCATTGTTCACTCTTCACAGAAATGGCTTTCAAAAGCTTGATAAAATTAAAGACTCCAATAGACAAAGTAAACAGCTTGAAGATCTGACTGATAAGATGAAGGAATGTAAAAGGTACATATTTTTCTTATCTGATTGTTTTTTAACTCTGGCATGAGAATGTTCTAGAATTGTTGTCCTGTTATAGAGTTGGCTGCGCTGCTTCAGCGAGTTTTTTTCTTCAAGATGTAAAGAAACAAAATCTAAGCATTTTCTTCAAGATGTATTAAAACAAAATCAAAGCATTTTCTTCAAGATGTAATGGAGCAAAATCAATGCATTTGAATGATTGGTTTGTTGAATTGTTAACTGAGAGATTAGCCTTCTTTTTCCCCTCAAAAGTTTACGTGTTTCACATGAAATCAAGTCAATGTTTTTTTGGCATGCAAAACTGTTTGAATTCTTTAAAGCTATTTATCATATATTAACAATGATAAAGACAATTATAATTGAATAGTAATTACTACCAAGTAGTTTATTTCTGCTTAGCCAAAAATATTTTCTTAGGATTATAAATTTTTCTTATTTTTCTAGTGCATGTTAGAACTGGCCAATCTGATAATTTTACTGCAAATGCTTCTTTTAGGTTAATCAAAGAGTTTGATCGGGAAATAAAAGATGATAAGGGTAATAATCCACCTGATGTCATCAAGCAACTTAATGATGACAAGCAATCAATGGTACACTTGATGAAATTTGTAGCAGGACTTGTTGGTTTGGATAGTTCTCATTATTGTGTTGAATTCTGGCACTGTGAATTAATTATTAAACTTCAAACCATTCTTTTCACTGCTCATATCGTTTTTTTGGGGCACACCCAGTGGTGTACCCCAAGCATTTTGAAACCATAAATTTTTATTTTTATTTTTTTATACTACAAAGTGTGTGGTACAAAATGCTTGGGGTACACCATTGGTCCCCTAGCATTTCTCTTCTTCTTAACATGCAAAACTGCTGTTGAGTGCATATACAGAGTATTTGTTTATTTAAATGGTAGATCAATTGGGCAATCCTCAATGATTTGAAATCTAATTTAGGTCATGTTCATCAGAATAAAGTTTTCTAAGATCGTAATACCCACTTAGACGAGAGGTCATGAGTACGGGGCTATGGGAAATAGCTCTAACCGGAACATATGGCATTGATAATCAAAAGAGCTGATTGTTTGGTTTTGTTTGGCGTGGTTTACTGGTTTTATCCATATATTGGACACATTGGTGAGTAACGTGGAGCATGGAGCATCCATAAGCGATACACAATAGTCAAAGTGACAAGGCAGATATTTTTTATTTGTTCAGTTATTCTGTATTATATGTTCAATGTCTGTGGTCCATTCGGTTGTGGTCCCTTTGGACCAATTGCAGGACATTTTTTTGATTAAATGCACCATGCTTGGTGTGATTCCTGCTTATATCCTCTGCTCTCTAATGGTTTTTACCTTTTCAGATTAAAGAGCTTAACTCATATGTTGCCTTGAGGAAGACGTAAGTAAATGCGTTTGGTTAGTTTTTCTAGATTTTTTTCATCCAGAAAGTAAACTTTCAGAAGCAACCATTAACATTTACATATAATAGATGGAGTATGTGCTAAATCCTGGTCTATGATCATAATCTAAACCCAAAATTTTTTTTTCACTTGTGCTAGACTGAGTTTGATCATGCTCTTTGTACTCTGAATTATTATCTTTACCAATTCAGCATCAAATTTGCTAAATTTACTCCCTTCGTGTAATTTTATTCTGAGTTTGACTTGGCTCGCTTCTTGAAATTGTGCTGTTGAGGTTTCTTTAAAATAAGTGATACAATAGCAACCACACAAATTTTTCCATAAAAAGAAGGGGAAGAATATTTTGGACATCTTAAAAAGGAAAACATGAAGAACATTATGGGAAGGAGGGTGGGTCTTTAAATTTGCAACAAGTATATCTACTTTTTTGTTGGGCTGGATTTGTAATGTTCCTTAGGGATGTGGGTGATAAATTTCATCATTAGATATAATAGACAAGCTTGAGCAATGGCCGGATTTGTTAGCTTCACTTCGTGGTACAACTGAAATTGGGAACTTCATTATAAGGGAGATAGTGAAGATTTCAGTACTTCTTTAAGACCTAACTAAGCACCACATAGGACTGTGAGTTCCTTAATGCAGAGGGCTGTGTCATTCAGGAATATTCATGTTTAATTGATGTTGAGCTCTTAGGCCAGCGCACATTGTTTACTGAAAAACTGTCCATTTTCCGTCTCTACACTCTCTAAGCCGTAAATCTTTTTTCCCTTTATTCTTGTGTTCTCTTTTCTTAGACATTCTTTTTCTCTAAACCTACTGCACTTATTGTGTCGATGTAGGTATATGAGTACTCTTGGAAATAAAAAGCTCGAACTCTTTGACATGGGAGCAGGTGCTAGTGAACCTACTGCAGATGAGAATGTAAAAATGGCATCAGGTGAATAGATGAAACAGTTGACTCTCATTAGTTAATTCTTTAAGTGATAATAGGCATAACCCATTAGCTTTATATGTCCTCCAGAAATGTCAAATCAGGAGCTAATCAATCATGGAAAGAACAGAATGGATGAAACTGACCAGGCCATTGAACGTTCAAAACAGGCGTGTATTTAATTGCTACTCTGGTACTTGATATTTATTGCACACAAATTATTTTGTAATAATCTAAACTCTATACCAATGTATGTAGGTTGTTCACCAAACAATTGAAATAGGAACACAAACTGCTACAACCTTGAAAGGCCAAGTTAGTATTCTAATTTCTATCAATTTTAAAGAACCCTTTGAGCATCCAGATCTAATTTTTTTTATCAATTTGTTAGACCGAACAAATGGGACGCATTGTTAATGAGCTCGACACAATTCATTTCTCCATTAAAAAAGCATCTCAGCTTGTGAAAGAGATTGGCAGGCAGGTTTGTAAACAGGAATTCCTTAAGGTGTGGCTTCGATCATTCATCCCATAGTCCCTTGTTTGTAACCGGGGTTTGTTTATTTTTCAGGTGGCTACTGATAAATGCATCATGTTTTTCCTTCTCCTCATTGTCTGTGGTGTAATTGCAATAATTGTTGTGAAGGTAATTCCTCTATAATCTCTATCCTGTCTTTAAAAAACACATTAATGCTATACGCCTATACATAGTAATCGTGTAGGTAAGCAGACAAAATCATACTTTGTATTGGGATTCTTTGGTTGTGATAGAAGAATGTTTTTCTGATAAAAATTGGTCTCGTTTCGATTGATTTTTCAGATTCCCAAGAATAAGGGAATTCCTGGGATTTGGTGCGTTGCACATATTTGTATTCAGGATACCTGGGAATTCTCTGCTTCATAAGAACCCACATTTTTATAGAATTGGAAGCCACCCTATTACCTTGTGTTATGCACATTATCCAAGATTTCTGCTAATACCCATCATTTTAAACTTAATTTTTTGTAATCACCCGCAATTCAATTTATCAAAAACTCGATTCCGACTCCTAAGGGTAAAATATTGTTATACTCCCTCTATTCCTATTTATGGATGTTCTCATTGACCAAGTCACACAATTCAAAAGAATACAGTGAAGTGCGAAGTTAATCAAAACCTTTTACATACAAAAGGCCGAGTTAGTATCTCATTTCTGTAGCTTGTCACTCACCAACTTACTCTAAAACACACTCGAAAGTTCATAATAGCTCAATTTGCATTCACTTTCACCAAAGGACAAATAAAATGAAAAAGGGAAGCAAATATGATCAATGAACACAATCTGCACATCTCGACTTCATCGAAGTTCAGTTGAAGTATTGGGTTTTAAATTTTGGGATATGTTAATGAGTGCTAAACAAGCTGCTAATGATTTGTCAGATTGTGAATCCTAACAACAAAGACATACGGGACATTCCGGGATTGGCCCCGCCGGCTCCAGCTAGGCGGTTGTTGTTGTATCTAAAGCCAGGTAGCGACTTCAGGTAATTTTCTCGGGACGCAGAATCCGGCGAACATTTTAACTCTACAAACCATTTGTGTAGCTGTTTGTTTATTCATTTGTATTTGGTCCTTTTATAACATGAGTGTGCATATCGTAGTTTGTGTAAATCTCACGTCACAGTTCTCATTCATCAACCTTTGGAAAAGGGCATTTCGTATTTGTTTCGGATTGCATCCTACGCTTTGTGGACTACACTTAGAATGCATAGAGTATCTATTTTGACACATTGTAAAATAAGTTAAAATATAAACTTTGACCGTAATATTCAAAACCTTTTGCGTGTTTATAAAATGATTTTGGCTAATATATGATTTTAAGAGATTTATCTCATTATAGTGGTCCAGTTTCAGATTCTTATGTTTGACCAAAGTTATTTGTAATTAAATCTATATAAAGATTGGTGTAGAATTATTAAAGGAAAAAATCATATCAATACTCTCATATTCTCTTTTCTATGTCAATTTTCCGAGAAATCAAAGGGTTTTACATCACTACTCCAATCCAGTTAACTCAGCTTTAGGCTTAATTATGTAGAATTATATTGGCAAACATGACCTTAAAATAATTACTTGACAACACATCTAAAGTACATAAATTAAATTAGATGTCATTTGATCTTTTTTTCCCAATAACTTAATAAAAGAATTGTAATTGAACCCTAGTGAAAATGTCTTTCTTCTTCCTTGTCCTCTTCGCTAACTTGAAAGCAACTCAATCTGAGAGCTTCGACGTACTTTAAACAAACCAACTAATTATTTCAAATTTTATGTTAGCCAAAGTAATTTCACATAATTAAGTTTGGATTTGGTTTAGTCAGACTAGAATTGCGATGTAAAATCTCTTGATTATATAAAAACAGGGGTGGGCAAGAATTCCAAAACTGTTGTCCCGACCTGAAATATTAGTCCCCTCTCAAAATTGTGTTTCGTTCCTTTCCGTTGTCCCATATATATCTAACTATTTACTTCGTATTTATATAATGCTATAACACAAAAAGTATCACTATTTTTGTTTTTCCCAAAATAGGTAAAAAAATATCTATATTTGAATATTTTTTTTAAAAAAGATGGACTAGGATCGGAACACCTAAAAATCCAAACCGTTCTAACCCGGCCCGTTCCCATTAGTGGCTCGTAATTTTTATGAAGCTTATGATCTTAACTTTTGACGTATGTTGTATAACACTTTTTCATGTTTCTTTATTGTTTTGGCATTTTAAAAATATTCTAAAAAAATATAACTTTTTTTCATTACTTTGCAAGTCAAAGTGGGTTACTTCCCCCTTATGTATTCTATATTTTTACATCTAATTTCGAATAATTACGAAGTAAGACAATCGAAACATGTTATGTTTTATTTCGATCCCGAATATTACTGTAAAAGACAAAGAGGAATAAAATTGTGACCCAAACTGTTTGAAAAAATGGAACAAAACGCAGGACAATATAAAATTCGAATCATCCTAACTCGTGTCCACTCCTACCTAAAATTTATATTGTAAAATCGATCAACCTTGAGAATATGGGTGTGCTTTTTTTTCATTAATGAATACTCCAACTTATATACGGAGTATTTAATTACAGAGTGCTTCAAAAATTCTACATAACAAATAGTGGTAAAACTATTTTACTTTAAATGATCAATGAAAATAAGTAAAGAAAATGAATATGGCTTACCATGTGAATAATAAAATACAGAGTAGAACATTATCACGAGACAAAGAGAGTACTACTCTGCATTTGTTAAACATTCAACCCCGAAAATAAAACTAACAATTAAAAAAGTACTTTATAAATTTTATACCTCCAGTAAAACAACCTTAATATAATCCCACGTAAGTAGCAATAAAATAGGGATGCGATTACCTAAATCCCCAACCAAACACCCAAATAGCTATTGATGTGGTCTTAAAATGATTTCCAAGAAAGAATGATTAGGAGAGAGATGATTTACTGAATTAAGGTTTGATGCTCTCAGTTCATACAAACTTCACTGTTTTGTTGATATAAGATAGATACACAATACTCACAATCTAAGAGGAATGACGGCGATGCAGTTTTGGTCTGTGCATCTACATAACGACTATATGCATCAAAATGGCAAAAAACAGACACAAATGACACAACCAGATTGAATCATTCTTCGATTCGAAATATGATAATAAACAGGGGGGAGGGGGGCGCTTTTGGTCAGCAGGGGGAAGGTCCGGATCGAGGATTCAATAAAGGCTGAAGAGCTTTGACCACAATGCTCATGTTTGGCCGGAAATCGGCTTCATATTGCACGCACAATGCAGCAACTGCAGCCATCTGTTTGCACAAATTATACAAAAGTTATGCAATCCATTTCAAATGTTTGTATTTTGGGGGGGGGGGGGTAAATTTCCCATCAAAACTAATGCCAGATATCATTTGGTAATGTTTTTCACTTTTTCGTGATTTGATTTTGATCATGTTTTTTATTTTAACACTTACAAAAATGTTAAGAATTTTGATAAGAAGCACTTATTTTCATAATGAATAAATATTATAAAGCATATATCATAAAGGTGTTCTTAGAGATCTGATACAACAAAAGACCTAATATAATATCCCCAAGTCCATTGGGGTTTGGGGGTCAAGATGTATGCAATATTGTTGCTGTAAAAAACAGAGAGTTTGTTCCTGTTAGATCCCATTTGATAACAAAACAGAAACAAAATTCATAAATATCGAAAGCACATAACAAGAAACTTTGCATAGCGAATCCTAAATGGCTAAATGATACTAATGCTCTATATTTGTCTTGGCAGATGATCATAATATATGCTATAGTTAATGGGCAAAGATAAACACAACAAGTACCTTTGCAACTGCCTTTGGAGGGCAGCAATCTTTCAGTTTAGCATCAACACACTGCTTTACTTTATCTTCGCTCAGCCTTGGTGTGGCCTGATTCCAATTTCAAGAGCAATAACAAATTATTGGTGGTGGAATTCAATGAAAAAGCCATTTCCTAAAGACTAAAACTCATGAGAGACGGTCAGATATGGATCTAATCACAATGCTTTAAAAGTTGAGAGTAATACTTTTTTCAATTTTATTTTTTAAAAGTATGAGACTAAAGTTTCTAAGAAACAGTCTCTTTACCTTTTTACGTAGGGGTAAGGTTTACCCACACACCCTGCTCACACCTCACTTGTGGGACCTTACTGTTTTTTTAAAGCGTCCCTCAGCTTTTAAAGTATTGCACTTTGGCCTCATCTTATCAAGAGACCACCTCATTTCTAAAAAATGCATGTGAAGACCAAAAGATATATATACCCATGTTACAAGACTCTGCTGTCCACGAGGAAGACTAGGATCAACAGGTTTACGTCCAGTTAGCAGTTCAAGAAGAACGACACCAAAGCTATAAACATCACTCTTGGAACTCAATTGACCAGTCATTGCATATCTGCCATTCAAGATCAAACAAATGAGAATAGTGTGAATTTGTAAAGTAAAATCTCACCTTTAGTCTCTCAATGGTTTGACATTGATGTAAACTGTGACCTGTCTTTCGATTTTGTAAGCTTAGTCTCTCCATTGTTATTATTTGGAGAATTAGTTCTTTTTAAAATAACCACTTATGCTATTAAATACAAAGGTTTATGGTGGTATTCTAGGCATTCTATATTACCAAGAACGTACCCATAAACCTTAATACTCCCTCCGTGCAAAAAAGAATTGCCCACACGCATAACGATGCTTGACTAAATTAATTTTCAATTCAATTTATATGGAAATGGGGTAAACTTAAAAAATAAAATTCATATATTTAAAAACTACAGCAAAACATCTACAAATAAGGGCTGTCAACAACATATTATTTCATCAAATGAGTAATGAAATTAAAGAAATAAAGTTATTGAAGTTTGACCCTCAAATAGTAAACGGGCCAATCTTTGTGGGATGGGAGTACTAAACAGTGATTTTATCAAGAGGAACCTACTGTATTTCAAGTATAATATTTGAGGGATTAAATTTACAAAATCCAAAAGACAAGTCTCAATATACCAAATGTCAAACAGTATAGAGACTAAGAGTGCTATTTTCAAAGCTGTAAATGCTCACCAAGCTGGAGCTGCAAAAAAATGCACTTAAAAAAGCTTCCTATATGATTAATAGATCCAGAAAGAAGCGGCTTACTCTGGTGCATGATAGCCAAAAGTCCCGAGAACACGGGTGGAATGAAGGCGTGCTGCCATATCAGGGGCTTGATTTGATAAATCAAAGTCTGCAATCTTAGCAACATCATCATCAAAGAGCAAAACATTGCTTGATTTTATATCACGGTGAATGATATGAGGTTGAGCCTTTTCATGCAAGTATTCGAGTCCCTTAGCAGCTCCAACAGCAATCTTCACTCTTTGGGCCCATGTCAGCACTGGACCTGGTTGCGCACCTTTCACACCTTTTCGCCCTGCACAATCACATTTTACTGGAAAATCAGCAAGAATATTTGAACCAAAATGATTCCTCCAGATTACTCAGAATACATTGTACCCCATATGATTAAAGGGTGCCCAAATATTCTAATGCATTTTATCAGCTAAAATATTCAAAACTTTCTCTAAAAAGGAGCCTGCATGCATAATATGGACTATGGAGAGTAGTTTAGTATTAAAAACGCAATGGCTACCAATATCATTACATCCTACCATCTTCCAATGTCGCTTGTCTGGTGAAGGCACTTTTTGTGATTTAAAAAAAGGGTTATTTGGTAAACTTCCATAACCCCAAGGAATGTTGATTAAAAGTCCAATTTTTAATTAAAACTGAAAGAGAAGTAGTGAACAATCAATTCAATCATCTCACACATGCAAATAAGTTTTACTGTAGTGCATGGTAACTTTTCCCATATTTACAATAGATGGACTCATTGATTCAGGCCTCACTTGGTAGCATTAATCAGCATATTCAGCTTATTCTTTGCATTAAGGGAAATAAGCAGAAAAGGTATAACAGTTAATAAGTAGCCTTTGGCTTACTTATTTAGCTCAGTTAGATTTTACCAAACACTTTTCATTTCATTCATATTTAGGAGATTCAGTCCTTTCAACCAAATAACCTAACTAAACGGGCCCTTATAAAAAATATGGATTACACCTGATATATTGCCTCCGTCTCGAAAATAAAAGCTGAAGAGTGAAATGTGTGTAGTTGGAATATGTGTAGAAGAAAGAGAAATGTTGCAAGCCAAATATTCCTTTCCTTAAAGGAAAATGAGGAAAGTGTGAAGTTTATTTTTGGGTGGAAGAGTAAGTAAAACATCACCCAATTTCCAGGTTACAAATCATCTATACATTCAAAGCATACTCGCAGCACAAAATAATAAACATATGTAGAATTAGCTTGAATAGTGACACTAAGTGAGATAACCTACCATGGAGAATATCGTGAAGCGATCCATTTGGAGCATACTCATAGGCTAATATACGAAGACCACCATCTACAGAGTAACCGAGTAACTCAACCACATTTTCATGTTTAAGTCTTGATACCATGGAAACCTGGAACAACATGCAATTAAAGAGAAGATTTTGAGCACAAAGGAGAGAGAGAGAGGGGCCAATGTAACATTCTGGTGGCTCAAACAAATATGTCTCACCTGTCCTAAAAACTCTCGATCAGGCTGCTTACTTGAGTCCAGCTTTTTTATGGCTGCATTTCGGCCAATTTTAAGTTGACCATAATATACCCTTCCATATGACCCCTCACCAATCAAAGCATTCGAGCCAAAATTGTCGGTGACTTCTTTCAACTCATCAAATGAGATCTCGGGGACATCAATAGGGAGGACATTCACCTGCGGTGTCTCTCTTTGTGCACTTTCAGTTGCATGTTGACCTATAGGGCCTGCACTTTGATTTTCAATAAGTTTTTTTTCATTTAACACTTCATGTGCTCTACTTAAAATCAAGTAGAACAACCATGAACATAGTGTTGTTCAACAGAGAAGTGAGAACTAATGACATGATTCCTATTCTGAAATATGGTATTAAATTTATTCAATATTGATGCTCTCAAACTTAGTTGTTGAAGAGTGTAAGACAAAATTGTAAAAGAAGGTGTGTGTTTGGAGCACTGAAAATGCTAGGGAAAGGAAAAGAAAATGAGAAGGAAAACATTTTTCTTGTTTGGTTAGAGAGGAAAAGAAAAGAAAAGTGGAAGGAAAAGAAAATGAGAAGGCAAAATGTACTAGGAGAATGGAAAACCAAATTCCTCCCATTTTGGTGAGGAAACTGAGAAGAACCATTTTCTTTTCTTTTCCTTCCAAATTCCAATTAAAAATAGTGCTAGTATTTTCCTTAGAATTTTCTTCCCTTACAAATTACAATTTAGTCCATATATTCTCTCAATTTTCTTTCTTTGTATTTGCTGGGTTCCAAATGGACCCTGAGAGCATGAAGAAGGAGACAAACCTGCTGAGCTATGTGGCATGTAATTTCCATTATCAGGAATCCTTTTCATGTCATCTTCATTCTCGCAACACCCGAAGCAACTCATGGTTCTATTCCTTGTTATCTTGCCCTTGTAAATAATCTGCATTAGTCATAACAATCACAAGACACAATCAGCATTCCCTAATGCTTCCCACGGAAGGATACCCTTTCAGGAAAGAAATCCAAATCCCACTTGCAGAACGGCAGAGTGGAAAGGACATATAGGGAGGACAGCTTCGTGAAAAAGTGTCCTAAAAACTATTGGTAAACATCTTGATTTTGCTTGATTCCAGTGAAATAAAAACAAGTGTCGAAAACGGATTACTAATTAGTGTGCAACACTATACCCAAGAAATGCAGAAACTACATAGAGTTCAAATGCATTTTCAGATAAATAAGCATAAAATTAAGCAATAATTCCAACACATGCGCTTTTTTGAGAGAAATTGAGCAAGAATCATATTTGATTATTTAAAGAACATTCATCGGAATTAAGAGAAAAAGAGCAAAATTTAATTTAAAAACAGCAAAACCCATTACAGTTTAGCGATAAGCAGCGCGGTCTCTAATAAATTAATAATCAAAGCAAATTCTAGAAAATTTCTTTAATTAAAAACAAAAAAAAAATAAAGTTAAAGCAACCAAGGAAAGCGTTTTGAGAAGTCTCACATAGTTCGATTGAAGGGAAATCCGGCGGCGAGACTTGGGATCAGACACCGGCGGCAGGAAATTAAAGGGGGGGTTAAAAGGAGCTGCTGATCTGAGATGGTGGACTGGCGTTGAAAACGCGTACGTTAGCGAGTACGCATTAGACCTCTTTGGTAGGAATCTCTGACCAATTCTGGAAGTAAAGAAAGAGAGAGAGAAGAGACCAATTCAGGAAGTGATGAGAGAGAGAGAGAGAGAGAGAGTGGCGTTTCCGTTTCCGTTTCCGTTTCCGTCTTCTCCCTTTCACCTGTCGTCTTCACATGGACAAAATCCGCCAGTCTACCGCTTCTTTCGACTCACACACACCCTTATTGACGGACTAAGCCATGACGCCATGTCCTAGAACAAAATACTCCATTTATTGAGTCAGTATATGCTACAACGGGTTGTACATAAAAATAGGTACATCCGGTTAGTATTCATTCTGAAGTAAAGTAGTACTCATTCTCGCACAAACATAATAATTTATTTAAAATAGCGTGGTACTCATTCTAAAATAACACAGTACTCATTCTGAAATACGTAATACTCATTTGCACACATTTGTACAATATTCATTTATTAATAACGTAATACTCATTCTAAAACCTAGTAATACTCATTCTCAAATAATCAAGTGCTCATTATTAAACAACATACCATTCATAAAAATCCAAAATCCAAAATCTTAAAATTGGAATTAGAACATACGGAGTATTGGGAATTATAGCTTTGCCTACCGGATCTGCGGATCGGGAGAGCTACTTCATTGCCGATAGATTTCGCAGATCTTCCTTCTTCCTCCCGACCGATTTTGCCAGAAACTGCCGCAGATCTCCTTCTTCATCGCCTCAGATCGATTTCGCCTTCCGCAGCTCTCCTTCGACCCAGCTTCCGACCCGACCCGACCCTCCTCTTTTCTCCTCGGATCGACGCCTTTTCTACCGGCTATACCCAATTTTGGGTACAGCCGGCTGTATGGTATAATTTGCGCCATTTATTAATGCAACGATAAACAACATCAAACAAACTCGTAAAAATAACTTATAATTAGTACCCATAATGAGCTAAAATTGATATAATCATAAAATAGAACATTTTTTAAATATACCGTAAGCCTTCTCTACCTTTAACCGGGATTGGAGACTTTCGTGTGGACATAATTATTGAGTTGTATTTTTACACCATTAAATTGGGTAAACATACAATAAAATAATTATGGTTGCCGTTGTTACTAAATAATTACTCCGGATTTATCATTAGCGTGTTAAAGTCGGAGTGGTTATTATTTAGGTGAACTGCGAGAGCGTCCTAAATACTTTTCTGCAATCCCACACATTCTATATAAAAATAAATTAATAATCCAACTTTTATAAAAACATTGGACAATTAATTTACCAATTTCTATCCCTATCTTTTCATCATCAAAAACCTTGTGTTGTTTGGAACTCTCTCCTTTTACACTTTTTATTTTATCTCTAAAACCAAAAAGACCAAAAATATTTTACAACTTCTTTTGTAAACTTTTGTTTAAATTAAATTAACTCACGTCTCCTTGAGGTTCGACACCCTACTTACAAGGGTTCTTTTTAGTTATTTTTGCCCGTTCTATACTGCAAATCAACTTGCCCTTCTGGAAAATATTTCCGTCCTAATTTTTTACACACACCATAAAATATTTTTACTTCCACCTAAAATGTCTAAAATATTTTAAGGGGTGCGCAAAAAATAAGGGTGAAAGTATTTTCAAGAACGGAAGGAGTAATACAACGATAAGTCATCACTAATATAACTTTCAAATGTATACTAATATTCTGTAATATCATGGCTTCATGTTCAAAAGTCATTGCATAGTTATTAATGATTCTAAACTATTGAAGCTAAACTTTTTTTATAAAAAGTGAATATCTTTTCATCATGGAAACTAACCTCTAATGTGTTTCCTCGTTCATCTTGTGACACTCTCTAAACTCGCACAACACACATTCATAGTGTCCAATAGGATCTTTGGGTTTAATGCTTGCTATTGTAAATAGTGTTATTTCAAATATTTTGAATGTGTTTGAATGAATGTGTGATCGTGAGATTGTGGCCTGTTTTATTTACCACGACTTCTTTTAATTGATACTCTGTATTAAATCAATTAGTTATCCCACTACTTTCGTTTAAATTATTCTTTTATCATTCATTACTTCAAAAAAAAAAAAAAGAAAAATACTCAGTCATGTGTGATCGTGGGTTTGTGCGTATGAATAGTATTGTTTTTGGAACTAATTCGGTTACCATTATTATTTTGAATAAAAAAATAATAAAATATATTAATTGCATAACTACTACTCGAAATAGTTTTTATCCATCTCAAAAAATTACCCAGCCCAATCATTCTACACAGATTTTTCTCACCTAAAATATCATTTTAATAAAGCAAATATTTATTGAAATTAATAAAAAAATTCATTGAAATAATAATAATAATAATAATAATTAGATTCAATTTGCATCTGTCCAATTGATTTTAATTTTCATGGCATTTAGAAAAGGTTTAAAACAAAATCATCTAATTAAATTTTTAGAGTGTAATCATCTGATTCTTTACTTAACTCGAACAGGGCCAAAACATTAATACCCTAAACATAATCTGCCCATGTTTCGGGAAATTTTTCCTTTTGCATTTGTAAAGAGAAAGATTTATATTCTACAGCCGGTTCTACTTAAATCTGGGTACAATCAGCCTTGAAACAGCAAAAGACACAAGTGGAGAAGAGAAATAATCGTGAAGAGAAGTTGCAAACATCGTCGTCAAGCGTTGAGCGTGCATCGAAGAACCTTAGCTATGGCGTGCGGCAAAGAGCCTTAGCTACGGCGTGGGGCAAAGAGAAGTGTGTGGCGGTCTGACCTCTTCTAGTCTGGTCTAATCTGATCCGAGTAGATTTGATCTGATATAAATTTGATTTAAATTAAAATTAAAATTATTATAATTATAGTTATAATAATAGTAATAATAATAGAAATAATAACAATAGTAGTAATCGTAATAATATTAATAATATATATGAGAATTGTAATAATAATAATAACTACAATAATAATACTAATAATAATAATAATAATAGAAATAATAATAACAATGGAAATATTAATAATACTAGTAATAGTAATAATAATAATACTAATACTAATACTAATACTAGTAATAATAGAAACAATAATAATCATAATAATTGTAATAATACTAATAGTAATAATAGTATTAATAGTAATAGTATTAATAATAATATTAATAATAATTTTAATAACAATAGTAATAATAATTATAGTCATAATGATAATAGTATTAGTAATAATAATAGTAATAGTAATAATAATAATAATAGAAATAATAATAATAGAAATAATAATAATAATAGAAATAATAATGATAATAGTAATAGTAATAGTAAAAATGAAAATAGTAATAATAATAGTAATAGTAATAGTAATAGTAATAATAATAATAGTAATAGTAATAATAACAATAGTATAGATAATAATATTATTAAGAGTAATAATAATTATAGTAATACTAATAATAATAATAAGAATAATAATAATAAGAATAATAATAATAATAATAAGAATAATAATAATAATAATAATAATAATAATAATCATAATCATAATAATACTAGTAATAGTAATATTAATAAAACTAATACTAATTGGTAATATTAATAAAACTAATACTAATCTGGTTTGGTCTGATCTAATCTGATTGGATCTGATCTGATTTTCACTAGAATAAGTAGTAAGTAGGAAAAATAAGTTGAGCAAAAAGCTGCATAGGCCATGTCCTAAAAAATACTCCCTCCGTCCCAAATTATTTGCCACATTTGTTTTTTCAAGAGTCGCGGGAACTTTTGTTTATTTCTAAGTTTTCATTGGTTATTTGATAAAATAAAATATTCTTGACACCTCTTATTTCGAAGAACTTTTCATGTAGTTTTTTGATATGTAATTTTTATTTTTTATTTCTTTACCAATATGTAAATAAAATGAATTGAAAAAACTTGATATTTTGTCTCGGTAATAGAAATGTGACAAATAATTCGGGACGGAGGAAGTACTTCGTTTAATCTCTCGATCTCAAACTAGATCCAAAGTTCTATTCTACAGCCGACTCTACTTAAAGTTGGGTATAGTAGGCCTTGAAACAACGAAAGACGCAAGTGGCGAAGAGAAATAATCGGGAAGAGAAGGTGCAAGCAGCGTCGTCAAGTGTTGAGCGTGCGGCAAAAAACCTTAGCTACGGCATACGGCAATGAGAGGCGTGCGGTGGCAACAAGCATTGAGCCGCCAATCTTGTCACATCCTCAGGCAATACTTCAACATTTTGACCACCCCATTCACAAAGATTAAGTCCACAAGTTTATTGCTCATAAAATCTATCATCATTTCCTAGTCTACCCATTTTTTTGTAATTACAAAGGATCTTGAATGCCCCACATTCGCAGAAACACTAAGTTCACCTTGTCCGCTAAATTCATGTAAGGAGTTTGTTTAAAAATCTGTTTGGGAGGAAAAACTCTCAAATCAGATCGGGTATTCATAAAATTATATCAAATCCAATCAGAAGAGAACATTAGGTCAATGTGTGCCACCTCAAAGGTTTGGTATGAAGCACGGAGGGATTCAAGGAAACCTTTTCATTAAAATCACCACGAAGAAAAGCATTTCACACATGCATTTAATGCAGTTCCCAAGAATGCATGCACTATAACCACGACCAAAAAAGTGCTAACCGTGATCAATTTTACAATGGGAGCAAATGTCTCTGTGTAATCAATACCTTCCCCTTGATTATTCTAAAAAATCATCAGCAGAGCCTTATACCACTCAATATCCCATCGATTTACGATAACGTTGTGAATCCATTTGTAACTAAGAGGTTGTTTGTAAGCTCGTACAAGCACAAGGGTTCATGTGTCATTGACTTCTAAAGCATCAATCTCCTCGTGTACGACCTTCATCGAGGCTTCAGACTGAACGGCTTGACACTTTTTTTTATTAATCTTCAAAAGTCTCATCTAATATTTACTAGTAATCATTCATTGATTGGCATAGGCTTCATTGAGTGATAATGTCAGTAGCTCTATATACTTTAACTTCACCCAATTGCTATAAAAATAAGAAAAACAAGCAAGAGATACAGACTTCAGCCTTAACTCAACACTTGAAATGGTGATTGAGTTCATGATCCACATCCATTGCTTGCCTGCCATTAATACTCATCTTATAACTAAACATTAGTCATTGACTCATTGTGTGTATTTAAATTTTGATAACTTTAATGCATTTGTACTTGGTATGAGATATACACATAGACAAGGCAAGAGAAGGTGCAAAGTGTGCATGACAATAATCACTGATGGTATAATACACTAATAAAAATGCCCAATAAAACTATTATAAGTCTGTATATGGAAAGGACGCCTAATCGTAAGCAATGCATATCCCATACACTTTGTATTTGAGCATTGTTCTTTCTCATTACTATGCAAAGGCAAGAGCTGCAGAAAAGTTGCAGGACACCAAAAAAAGGATCATTTTCATAGGATCTGATAGATTATCTTAAGAGCAAATTTTATAAGATCTGTGGGTGCAAACTTGGAGTGATCTATTATGCAAAACTTAATTCAAGACTAACCCAAGAATTACAGAGCATAAGCAAACTAATCCCCGAAATGAAGAAGCTAATGATGCTATGTAAGGTTCTTCATTTTTCTATCCTTGGATCCTTACCCTCCTCAGAAGAAAGGGTTTCTGCTGCATCATGTTGCTTTCCGAATCCGAGCTCAGACAAGTCTTGCTTTGCCATCAGGTTTCTGTAACCATTATTCATAATTCAAGCTCTGTAAAAATTTCTTTTATACTCTGTATATAAAAACACAATTCAGAATCTATTTATTTAAAATGAAAGAAGATGGATCTTACTTCTCCATTCGGCATTTCAGATACTTCTTGGAGAACTGTCTACACTTTTCAGATTGATGTCCGCATGTTTTAAGACAGCTAAGGTACTCTTTCTTCTCCTAAAAACCCAATACAATGACACAGCACAGTGAATAAAAAGCTTAGGTCCCACTGCTCAATAACTAAGTTCCCGTTTGGCAATAGCATTAGAGTTTAGCTCTGGTGCATTGACAAAGCTGTCGTCTTGCCGACAATAGCCTTTAGCTTTTACATTTTAAGCGCTGCTCTGCATCTTTAAAGAAAAATCTAAAACTCTAATGCCAGTTAGAAACGATGTTCCCAAACAGAGTCTAAATTATCTTTGTTGAGAGAACAATAAGATAATCGTCAATACAAACGTACCGAATCGCATAAATGCAAGTGGTCCAACGGAAATACTCCCTTTTCTGGTGGGACAGGTCTCAATCCTCTATTTCCACCAAATGCCCCCCCTTCAAAAGGTTAACAAGTATCTGTCTCATGAGTTTGGGAAAAGGAAACAAAAGAGAGAGTAGTATCACAAGCACAAAACATTCACTCTTCGTAAATTTAGGGGGGAAATCCATTTTGCAAGAATTCAAAGACTGCAATCACACATTGAGAACCAAAAGTCCAAAACAATATCTAAGTGTGGGAAAGAAAACTTCAGATGAAGGTCAGCCTCTTCAATAGCTTCAAAATAAAATCCACACAGCTTTAGCAAATTANTGCCAGTTAGAAACGATGTTCCCAAACAGAGTCTAAATTATCTTTGTTGAGAGAACAATAAGATAATCGTCAATACAAACGTACCGAATCGCATAAATGCAAGTGGTCCAACGGAAATACTCCCTTTTCTGGTGGGACAGGTCTCAATCCTCTATTTCCACCAAATGCCCCCCCTTCAAAAGGTTAACAAGTATCTGTCTCATGAGTTTGGGAAAAGGAAACAAAAGAGAGAGTAGTATCACAAGCACAAAACATTCACTCTTCGTAAATTTAGGGGGGAAATCCATTTTGCAAGAATTCAAAGACTGCAATCACACATTGAGAACCAAAAGTCCAAAACAATATCTAAGTGTGGGAAAGAAAACTTCAGATGAAGGTCAGCCTCTTCAATAGCTTCAAAATAAAATCCACACAGCTTTAGCAAATTATTATTACAGAAAAAATATTGAAGCTCTATATGATGATGACAATGATGAACAGCTCACTATCAAATACTACTCCCCCCCCCCCCCCAAAAAAAAAACAAATATATTTGTAATACTAATTTCAATATGAGGAGTCATTTTTCGGAGGACCAGAAGTAGCTAATCATTCCATTTTATTGAAAGTCTTGCAGACTTGCAGTTCATATAATTATGTTCATACTTTCATATCACCCCCCCCCCTGCCATTGGCATTCTAGAATTGAGTTATGTATTAACAGAGGTTTTCTATGGAGGGCAACATGCTCTGACATATGGAAAGTACGGTCTGTGGCACCATTGGATTTTGTTCTTTCACATTGTCTTGTCAATGCAAAGGCGCACAATGGTTCCAAGTAATCATGCTAATGGAAACATCAATATGATAAACCCTAAAGGCTAACAGTGGTTGCCCGGGAATAGAAGATTACCTGCGCTCATTCTGAAGGATGATGCTTTTCTTATATCTACTTCCAAAGTAGCAAGCTATCACCACAAATTTGTTGCCGATGGGAGCGACGCCCGTCCGGACCCTTAATTAAGAGACGATTTTATTTGAAGCCTAACGAGTAGGTGCTTTGAACTTGTTGCCGATGAGAGAGCAACAAAAGGACTCCCTTATGAGTGTCTTCTTCCCAACTACTCCATATTCTCTTAGGAAGATTTGGACATGAAAACTATGCCTTTTCTATTCTTTGCTTCTTCTGTGAGAATAAATTACAGAGACGGGTGAAAGGGACAGATAAAATACAATCTACTATATATATAAAAGCTGATGGAAAATCAGTTCCAATTTCATGCATCAATTTTCCCGCCAATTTTTTGATCCTATGGCTAAGAATACTGGGATACACATGGCAGCTCCACATTAAATCTCAAATCCAGAAACATATACAATCACTTCTGGACAAAACATATACATGGCATCTAATCTACTCTATAAAACCAAGCCAGTATTTCAATAATGTACTAACAAATCAACTGCCACTGCCCCAATTTCACATCACGCCAGTGATACTGCCACTGCCCCAATATTGCCACTGCCCCAATTTCATATCATCACGCCAATGAATCAGCCACTGCCCCAATTTCATTTCTTTGAATCTTCAGAATTTTCACCTCTAACCATTTCAAATGAAGTAATAAAAAGAGCCTCATAAACAAAATTTTACTATTTTGAAAGTTTGAAATGATAAAGCCATTTCAAAGGCCATTTCAAAAGCAGAAAATAGCAATATGTAAATCCAGTATAAGGCCCATTTCAAAGCTACTGCAAAGAGGCTCAGATATTCACTATATATATATTCATTACAAGGAAATAGAATAATAACGCCATGGCTGCTAGATAACCAAGCCAAGTTACGTATTATTTAAGTAATCAAAATAAAAGAAAACATATAAAAGCAATCATCACAGCCTCTTTATTGTTCAAATTATTCCAGCTTCACAGACAACCCAGAGAAATGTACAATCAGAAATAGACAAAATCCAGGTATCATTTTCAGAATTGGAGCAGTCTGTATAAGTGCAGGAAAATGCATGATTCAAACTAACTCACCATCAGCTTTGTGGTCTAAGGCAAGACAATATCCTCTTTCCATTTCAAATGAGGTATTATAAAGAGGCTCATACCCCCAAATTGTTTCTTTGAAATCTAAAATGAGGTATATTTGGTTAGATGGGGATACTGACCATGAGCTTAATGGCTTAAGGCCAGACAGTATCCTCTAAGTTTATACTCATTACAAGGAAAAAGTTTATGATAACGCCATGGCTGCCTCTGGCTAGGCCGTAGCCACGCCAAGATATGTTTTATTTCCTTAATTTCAAAAAAAAATATGGTAAAACATATAAAATAAATCATCACAGCCTCATAATTTTACAAAGTATACCATTTAAAGGGCAGAATTTTACAAAGTATACCATTGCCTTATAAAGAGGATGAAATCAATTAAGTGGACCAACTATAACTGTCTTTATAAGGGCAGAATTAGAGGATACTGTCTTGCCAGGAAAATTACCATTTCAAGCTAATATAAAGAGGCTCAGATATTCACTATTTAGATAATCATTTTAAGAAAAAGGTTATGATAACACCATGGCTGCTCCTGCCATCCAGGGAGCCACGCCAAGATACGTATCAATTTCCTTAATTTCAGTAAGCTCATTAAGAGAAAACATATAAAATCTATCATCATAGCCTCTAAAGTCTACAAGTCAATCCAGCTTCATACCCAAAGTATACCATTGCTGCAAAAATATGTTGAAATCACTTAATTACAAGACAAAGAATGGAACTTGGTCCCTATAGCACATGACAATTACCCATTACAAGTGCTAGAGACCAAATCAGTCAGTTCCATCCTGGAAACTCCCCATGTATTATAGCATTGGACTCCAGCTATATATACCCTTCCACTCTTACACACTACACACCCCTAAACCTTACTTTCTTAGCCTAAATCCCTGAATCTTCCCTGTAGACTAGCCCTATAGTTTTAAAAGAAATGAAAGTGACTAACAACAAAAAAAGGTTTATTTCTAAATATAGTAGTCTTAATAACATCCCACAGTCAATGTATGAATATAATACGGATCGGAATATAACATAAGGTCTTAAAATTTTAATTTTTAGAAAATAATTTTAAGATAAATCTGAAATTATTTTTTAAAATTTCCAAAAAGAAGCGAATGTTAGAGCAAATCATAAACATTTCAAAATTAATACTACCAAAAACTCTATTAAAAATCAAATAGATGTCATCTGGATAGTGGATATACTTTAAAATCTGGAAAATACAATTTCTTACAAACAATTTTCGAAAAAACGCCAAATGTATTACTGAGTATATAAAATAAAGGAAAAAGATGTTTAATTATAAGAAGTACGCAAACCTTCTATCCATGGTAATCAAGGGATCTGCGAATGACGGCGACGAAGATGGGATAGGAATTGAAGAAGAATGAAAAAGAAAGAATGAAAGGATAAAGAATAATGCAAAACAACCTAGAGAATGGAAGGGAGATGAGATGGAGGAGATGCTAGGTTTTAATGGGTTTTGGGCTTGGACAAAACTGGCTGCATTGGTTTTGATTCATTTTACTCCCCCCCTAAATATTTCTCACATTTCTATTAACAAGATTAAATATCAAGTGTTTTCAATTCATTTTATTTACATTTTGGTATAAAAATAAAAAATAAAATTTACATATTAAAAAACTACATGAAAAGTTATTCGAAATAAGAGGTGTCAAGAATATTTTATTTTATCAAATAACCAATGAAAACGTAAAAATACACAAAAATTCTCGCGACTCCTGAAAAAGCAAGTGTGACAAATATTTTGGGACGGAGAGAGTAGTACGGAGTACATTTTATATTACTCCATCTGTCCTAAAATATATCTCACATTTGTTTTTTCAGCAGTCGCGGGAGCTTTTATTTATTTCTACGTTTTCATTGGTTATTTGATGAAATAAAATATTCTTCACAGCTCTTATTTTGAATAACTTTTCATGTAATTTTTGATATGTAATTTTTTTTATTTCTATACCAATATGTAAATAAAATGAATTGAAAAAACTTGATATTTTACCTCGGTAATAGAAGTGTGAGTAATAAATTATATTCCCTCTGTTTTTTAAAAAAATCATATTTCATTTTTACATGCAAAATCTCATCTTTCTTTAAACAATTTTATTAAAAAAATAAGTGTTGACAATAATATTTTATTTTGTCAAATAACTAATGAAAAAATACAAACAAACAAAAGTTATCGTGATGCCTTGAATAGTAAATATGAATTGTTTTAAGAAACAGAGAGAGTAATAATTTACGAATAACATCTTACTATACATATCTATTTTAGTCATTTAAAGTTGAATGAGTTATTTAATACAACGTATATAAAGTAATACAGAGTATTTATTTATTTGATTATCAAAGAGTAAAATGACACTAAAGTATTTGTTTTTGTCAAAAATGTCGTTGTCTAAGTCTCTGAAATATTCAAAAATGTCACTTAAGTATTACGGAGTATATTTTTTCAAAATATCACTCTCGATTTTTTCTTTCAATAATGTCATTTAATTTTCTAAAATGTTCCAAAATATCACTCAAATATTTGTAAATATTCAGAATGCTCTTTAACGGGCAATTTTTTGTTCATTTTCTTTAAATTTATACATTTTTCTAAATGTTCCCTACACTTTTGTAATACTCCCTGTGTTCCAATTTATGATCTTGATTAGATTTGACATACATTTTAAAAATAAATTTAAGTAGTTGAAAGTGATGTAGATGAAAGAAATATATAGAGAGTCACAAAATGTTTTCTAAAAGATTAAAGAAAACAAGTCAAACATAAAGCTTCTTTTAGACATTCGAAATAAGAAAGCAATAAGATTAATTTGAAACAGGGGGAGCATGTGATATTTTGTCACTTTTCACTAATAAAAATATTGCTTTCATTTCAAAAAATTCTAGCATTTTTTAACATATATTACCAAAATATATCTTACTTTATTTGTTATCTTTCTAATAAATTAACACCTGACTTGAAGGGAGGTGGACCCTCCAGAACCCGAGGCATTGTATTTTGCCTTCTTTCTTCCGATCGGCCGTGGAATGGGGTCCTCGTCATCGGAATCCGCAACGTTGAAGGGAGGCATTTGTTCGGCCAAACCAATAGTGTCGTCGACCTCAACCTCGGCGTCGACGGAGGATCTTTTCTTTGACGATCCGCCGTCGGGATTGTTGAGTTGTTGCCACTTCGGGGAACGGCTCAAAATCCTCCAAAGATCGATGGGCACCTTGCCTTGGTGCCCGTCATCTTGTTACCGGGTCGTGGCAAGTCGGAGAACATCGGCGTCGTTTGTCCTGCTCCTCCGGGACCGGGCGCATTCTTCGTAAACTCCGATAAACGTTCGGACTTTACGGTTGATGTGTCTCCATTTGGAAGTGAGTTGGTCCCGGGTACGGTAGGAGCCGTCCTTGTTCATCGCCGTAAAGAACTTCTCCTCGATACGATCCCACATCGCATCCTTCGTTTGCTCCAAACCTTTTAAAAAGTATAACACGAGAATTTTTTTTATGACACGATTATATATAATTTTATATAAATAAAAACATAAATATATTAGAAAACATGTAATTTTTACCAACGATAGGATGCTCGGAGACGTCAACCCAAGCCGACGCCAATAAGCACTCTTCCTCCAGCGTCCACTTTGGTTGGATTGACCGTGCCGCCTCGGTCATCGTGCCTTTTGCTTTGTGGCTTTTCCGGCGTGCACTTTTTTTGGTGCCGGATAGTCCCGGTTGAGTCTCCGAAACCGAATATCGCTCGACGTACCCCGATTGTTGCGTCTCAAACATCAGCGGATGATTCCCGTATTGTTTGAAATACCACATCGCGGACTCGTGAGACTCGAGATCATCGAGGAAGAAGCCGGAGCCGGAAGGATTCATGTTCAAAAGAGAGTTGAAGAATTAGAGAATTGAAGGATGTGAAAAAGATTGAAGAAGATTGAAGGTGTGAGAATGGGAGGGGGGGGAGTTTGAAATTTATAAAAAAAAAATAATTTAATTTTTCTTTTTTTTTTGTTTCAACGACTATAATAGCCGTTAGGGGGGAATCAGCGTCATTCATTTGACGCGTGCACGGTGATGCCGTGATGAAGCCGCAGGGGGGCGGTGTTTAACGCCCTCTGGGCGTGAAAAGCTCCTTAACGTCGGTCGGCGTTAGGAGTATTACTAGTGCTCTAAGTGAAGAACATCAAAGTTGAAAATGATGTGCCATTAAAATTGATGACGTGGAGAAGAATTAGAGTGGAATGACTAGGGATGCTCTAAGTATGCAATGATTTTGGACCTCGAAAATTATTTTGCAACTTTTGAAAGCACATGGACTATTTGACCAAATGAACTATCTATGCACATAACTCTTAAATTATTAACACAAATTTTTCCAAACTTACTCAAGTTTGGTCCAATTATTCTTTTGTATACTCACCATAGCCATTAAGTCCCCGTTGAGATATACTCGTACATATTTGTTATAGTAATAAATACTCCCTCCGTCCCAGAATATTTGTCCACTTTTAACTTTTTTTGGTCAAAAACTTTGACCTCAAATTAGATAAAAATGATATTAGATATTGATACAAAAATAGTTTTATTAGATTTATTATATAAAGTACGGAGTATTTTCAAAATATTATTTTATATAATTAAACACAATATATATATTTTTTAATTATATGTCAAAGGTTGAAAACGGTTGACTGAAAAAAGTCAAAACTGGACAAATCTGGGACGGAGGTAGTATTATTTTTTATGTTTTTGTTCCCAAATAGGTATTGCATTTCTCTCTTTGGGTTCATAATTTTTTTATTACATGCAAATTTAAACTATACTTTTTTTTCATTTAACACTTTTTATAATATGTGAAATGAAATTGTAAACTTATTTAGGAGACCAAAGGAGCTTTACTTGGGTAACTACCAAACATTTTTTAACACAACTACCATACAAATTAATATGTAAATACGTGGTAAATAAGATGAATTAAATTTGGAATACACTCGGTATTAATTTTAGGGATGGGCACGGTTCGGGACAGTACATGGATTTTAATAAAACCTGTACCGTACCATTACTATTCTAACGGTTTGGTACGGTTCAGTTTTACAACCAAAACCATTAGGTATCCTGTCAACTTCAAATGGTACGGTGCCATGTCATACTGATGTCAAACCATACCGTAATGGTTTAAGAGCTAAAACAAGTTTTATTATAAAAACACTAATTGATGAAAGTAAAAATGTTTGACGCACTATTATGTTTTTATATCCTTAATCAATAAACATGTTGTTCAATAAGCTTGACGGTGTAAATACCGTGCAAATATTAAGTGTAAATGAGCAGAAGGGTCGTAGGTGGAAACACCTGTAACCCAGTTTGTTATTAATGATAGTAGGACTGTTTACAAGTTATAAGTCGTATGAATTAATTAAAGCATGCCCCACAAATGAGGCTTTTAGTCCTATTTATAATAATCACTAAGCACGTCAAGCACGTCTCTGCTCCTCCGGCCGGTCAGTCCTCAACCGGTCAGCTTGCATGTCTTTGTCAGATGAAGCCATGTCGGTGATCCCGAATCTTCTCACCACTGACCGGTCAGACTGCCCGGGTCGACCAGGTCATAGGGTGTTGGATTTGATACCTCCCGGCCGGTACGAACCTAACGGGTAGACCTGGCAAAACTGACCCAGACCCGATAACCCGAACCGAATAACCCAGAACCGAACTCGAATTGACCCGAAAACTGAAGAACCGAAATAGAACCGAACACCCAAAATGATCCGAACCGAACTGAACCCGAACCGAATGTATTCGGACCCGATTCAGACCCGAATCCGATTAAACCCGAACTGATTAAACCCGAACCGATTAAACCCGAACCCGGTTAAACCCGGAACCGATTAGACCAGAAACCTATTAGACCCGAAATTGATCAAATTCATTAATATTTCATTTATCAAATGAATTTGGAGAAAACGAATTACCTATATATTTTTACATATGTTGATGTGTTTCTAAAAAAACATATTTAAATTATGGGTGCAAACCATGTAACTACTTTCATGTACAAATCTTTTACTTTGCATTTTATAACTTAAGTTAAAATATTTTTGTATTTTTATAAAAAGTATATAAAAATTATAGTTAACTAAATTAACTAAATTTATTATGTGATATTATTCATTTATTAGTATGTGTTTACATTATACTTGAACTAATATAAATTTAAACCGATATAAACTCAAATCAATACAACCCGAATTGATACAAACCCGAACCGATATAACCCGAACCGAAACAAACCCGAACCGATATAAACCTGAACCGATACAAACCCAAACTGATATAAACCCGAACCGAAACCGAACAGAAACCAAAAATCAATCAAACC